GGGGGGAGGGGGGCGGTAGCGCACTCGAGTGGTAGTCGAGCCAGATATGGAGCGACTCGGGGTCGAGGCCTTGCCTCGCGCAAAGCGCCTCGGCCGCCTCGAGGATGGCTGGGTAGTGCTGCGCCTTGGGGTCCGGGTGGTGGCGAGAGAGCCACTGGTGCGAGACAAACATGACGGGGAGGCCGGCTGCGAAAGCCACCGCCGACTCGACGGTGTCGCAGAAGCGGAGGGCACCAGCGTCGCGCGCCTTCGTCATGCACACGCCAGCATCAGGGTGGGAATGCGGTTTCGTGCGCGCATTCAAGCATCGTGTGATACAAATACAGCCGAATGCAGCCGAATACGGCCGAATGCAGCGGAGTGTGCGCCCTCTCGAGCGCTGGTTGGGAGACAAGAAGACGTGTTCCGCTTCTAGGACCGCGCGCCTCCTCGTACGAGACAAGGCGGCCCTGCTCGCGTAGCTTCGAGAGCGGCATCACCGCGAGCGGAAACTCGAGCGTCGTGACGCCCGTCACCGCCTGGCGGATGCGTCTGTCCTTCTCGGCGCTCTCTCGCTCAACCTAAGGTAAGGCAAGGCCAGGTCAACTTCTCCGCACACACGAGGTGGTGGGGCAAGGGCCAAGCAGTCCCTCGCGGCCCCACGTCTAGAAGACAGGAGCCCCGGCATCAAAGTGCAAGGCCCGGTGCGCGTGGGTGAGCGGTGTGTGTGTGTGTGTGTGCGTGTGTGTGTGTGTGTGTGTGTGTGTGTGTGTGTGTGTGTGTGTGTGTGAGTGTGTGTGTGTGTGTGTGTGAGTGTGTGTGTGAGTGTGTGTGTGAGTGTGTGCGTGAGTGTGTGTGTGTGTGTGTGTGAGTGTGTGAGTGTGTGCGTGTGTGTGTGTGTGTGTGTGTGTGTGTGTGTGTGTGTGTGTGTGTGTGTGTGTGAGTGAGTGAGTGAGGGGGGGGGGTCGCGCTCGACCTCCGCGAGGCGCAGCAACCGACGGAGATACACGCACCGCACGAAGGTCAGCAGGACGACAATGACACCGAGGGCGCAGACACTCGTGCCCGCGATCGCTGGCCACTGCTGCGGCACGCACCTGGGGAGATGTGTCAGGAGATGTGGGGAGATATATCAGGAGATATGGGGAGATGTATCAGGAGATATGGGGAGATATGGGGAGATGTGGCCACTGCTGCGGCACGCACCTCCCGTTGCCCGCGCTCGGCTTGTGGTACGCGAAACGGCAAGGCTGGCACTCGGCAGCCGGCAAGCGCCTGTCATGGGTAGGCGGGCCATCCTAGATAACTCGATCACTGTTGACTTTGTGAGGGCGGCCGGCACGGCCGCACCACCCCTCTCACTGTACAAGGTGCGAGAGTGAGAGCGCCACGCAGAGAGGGTATCTCCGGACCTCACATAAGGCCTCCTCGAGCTGGCTAGAGGAGGTCGGTGGGAGGGAGAGGTGGAGAAAGAGGGACTTGGAGGTGTCCGTGTGTGTTTGCTTGCACGCGCCTCAGCGCTTCAAAGTCGACCTCGAAGCCGGACGCATCGTCCGCCCGGAAGGTCGGCTCGAGGTGCGCGCCGCAGCCGCACCCGCGACTTGGCAGCGGCACGAGCGGCGCCGGACACCGCGCGATGATCGTGCGCGTGTCAACGAGCGCGCCGTCGAGCAGCAGCAGGAGCGCGTGCGCGCCGACGAGCGGCGCGAGCACGGTTGCCTTGTACCGGCCGTCCGAGGCATAGACGACCGCCATGTCGTCGTGTGCACCGGAGGCGCTGTCGCGGACGAGGACGGTGAACGCCTGTGTTGCGTGTCCGACGGTCACTGTGCTATCGTGCGGCTTCGGGCCCGGGGCTGTGCTTTTGTGTGAACGC